ATCCTGTATGTTTGATTGTAAGGATAGCTACATGGTGCTGTGGGTAGAATGCTGAGCCTGGAGTCAAGGAAGACTCATCTTCCTGAGTTCAAATCGAGGCTCAGATACTAGCTGTGTGACCGTGGGCAAGTCACTTAACTCTGCCTCAGTTTCCTCATCTGTAAAATGAGCAGGAGAAGGAAATGGCAAACCACTCCAGTATCTTTGCCAAGAAAACCCTAAATGGGGTCAAGAAGAATTGAACATGACTGAAATCGATCGAACAACGAAACATGTTTGATTTTATGTATTTAAAAAGAAGATTTTTGAGAAGGGGTTCAGGGCTTCACCAGGGTGCCAAAGGAATCCATGATGAAAAAAGAGTTAAAAACCCGTGCTGTTGTGTCAGCTGCTGAAGTATGGTGCTCCCAGCCTTATTATACTGTTGTGTAAGAGGTAGCAGCTGCAGAGGTCTCGTAGGGGCCATGTTTGAATTATGTTGTAGGCAAAGTCTCAATCAACAGGGTAAAATGAGCCAGGCTGTGTTCTTAATCTAATTGTTGATTCTGGCTCTCATCTTCTGTTATAAATAGGGGATCAGTTTTCTAAATTTGTTCTTCTCATTCCTCTTCTTACTGGGTGGGGTGGGGGGAAGGTAGAAAAATATGTAAACGGTTAGTCCAGGCTCATTTGGCCTCATTTGGCAGAGGCAGGCACCCTCTGAGCTCTAAAACAACCTGAATACTTTTCTTTGTGGATTTTGAGGTCTTTGAAAATTAGGTTTCCTCCATACCTTCTGAAAGTGGAAGCTCCTGTTTTGTGGACTGATTTTTTAGGGATTGTAAATCACTGAATATAAACTCCCTGAGGGCAGGAAAGATTTTACTTGTGTCTTTGCATCCCCTGCACCTGGCACACAGTAGGTGCTTAATAAATGTTTATTGATTGATTAGAAGTCCCCTTGCCTAATACAATGATCCTGTCTGTGTTGCTAAGGGGGGTTACCGTGGTTCTGGAGGAGAGAGCGAGGCTGAGGACTTTGTGCAGCTCTGCCTCACTTCAATCCAATTCATGTACATGTCAGGACAGCACCCTCCTGATGTCTTTGGTCCTCTTTGAAAAGGACTAAAGGGAGAAGGAGGAGGAGGAAGGCAGTAAGGACAAGAACATGGAACAACACCACCACCACCACCACCACCGTTCAGGTTTTCTGAGGCAGGGATGGTTTATTTTTTGTCTCTGTATCCCCAGCACATTGTGCATCCATAATAAAAACTTAATTTAAGTGTGAATTGTTGAATACTTCCAGTTACTTGATGAGACAGTGGTCGCCATTTTTATCTAGTTTTGGGTCCAGAAAACTCTTCCTTGCAGTGACCTGAAATATGCCTGTAAATGGCAGCCAACACATAGAATTAGCCCAATATTTCTTTCATATGACAGATCTTCCAATATTCAAAAGCCACAAATGTGTCGTTACTCGATCGGTGAGTGTCTCATGTGGCCTGCTATCTCTAGGTGTTGTTGTTCATCCATGGACCCACAGCATGCCAGTATTGTCCGTGGGGTTTTCTTGGCAAAGAAAAGAGTGGTTTGCCATTCCTTCTCTAGTGGATTAAGGCAAACAAGGGTTAAGTGATTTACACAGCTAATAAGTGTTTGAAACTGGACTTGAAATCAGGTCTTCTTGACTCCAGGGCCAGTGCTCTATCCATTGAACCACCTAGCTGCCTCCTTCAGATAGTTGTAGTATGTTAAAATGTGTCAGAGGTGATTCCAGGGGTTGGATTTAGAATCACAGATTAAAGATATACAGGCAATGGGGAATAGAAATCTATCCTGCCCTACAGGAAAATAGAAGGGGAAGGTGATAAAAGGGAGGGCAGATTAGGGGAAGGAGTATTCAGAATGCAGGCTGTCTTGGGGGGGGAAGGGAGAGATGGGGAGAAAATTTGGAACTCAAAATCTGGAGGAAATGAATGTTGAAAATTAAAAATAAATAAATAAATTAATTTATAATCACAGATTAGCAGATGGAAGGGTCCCTAAGAGGTCCCATCCCATGCAGGGATTTTGGTCAAGGAAATGAAAGCAAGAGAAATTCAGCTAGAATGACGACGCAGTGATAGGAATTCTTGGAGTTGGAAGGCACCTTATACATCAACTAGTTCAACCCTTACTTGAAGCCCTATCCCAGGGGTGGGGAACCTGCAGCCTCAAGGCCACATGTGGCCCTCTAGGGTCTGACTGAATTCAGTCAAAGGGCCGCACTTGAGAACCTAGAGGGCCACAAGTGGCCTCGAGGCTGCAGATTCCCCACCTCTGCCTTATCCCTTCTATAAAAGCTCGGACAAATGATCTTTACTTCAAGACCCGAAAAGATGAGGAACCTTCACCCTCCTAAGGGGCCCACATTCAACCATTGTGTAACTTCATTGCATCGCATAGGGAGTTCCCCTTATGTTAAGCCCGAACTTGACCCTCTGCAACTTCTGTACATTGCTCCTACTTCATGTGTGACTGTGGGTAAGTCACACCATCTTTCTGGGCCTCAGTTTCCTTATTTGCATAATGAAGGGGTTGGCTTTTGAGATCTCTTCCAGCTCTGGATCTCTGCTCCTAGATTGAATCCCTGCAAACTGTTAAGTATAAGGGTTTGGTTGTAATTAATAATAATAACAACAGCATTTATTTGGTGCTTTAAAATTTTCAAAGCTCTTTACATATATTATCTCTGTTATCTTTACGTGTGTCATTAGCTAGCAAGAAGAACTAGGATTTGAATCCAGATCTCCATCACCAAGGCGACACCTCTTTCCGCCATGCTCAGTCTGCTGAAGCACTTTTTCTGTTAAAAATACATCTCTTGGTCTTATGGACTTTGGTCCCTTTTCTTCTTTCATGCCTTTATCTCTATTTAGTTCCCCAAAACAACTGCTCATTGAATTCAACCTGCCTCATGACCATATCAGAGTCTGGTAAGAAGGTCTTGCTCTGCCCCTCCCCCTCCCCCCAGCACAGTTCCCACGCAGGTGAGAGGATGTCCAATTGGCCAAGCACCTGGCTCCCTCCTTCCCCTGAGTCCGGACTGTTACAACATCCTTGTCCGTTGGAATCTTAGATTCCTTGCTAGATCACTGGGTGTTAGAGCTAGAAGGACCTCAGAGAACATCTCAGTCACCACTTTGATTTCATCAGTGAGGGAACTGAGGCCCAGGGAGGTGAGGGAACTTTCCTAACAGGATTTCTTCAGGTCGTCTTGTTGCAGTCTGAGAGATTTAGACCCCTCGAGGACCAGAGTGTAGGACGGGGCCATCTGGAATGAATTTACAGACTCAAGCATTTTTTAAGTCAAGGTGGCAAAGATTTATTGTTATGCCGTACAGTGGGCAAGGATTCTCAAGGAACCTGCCATAGTGGGCAGAGCTCCTTAGGGAACTTGTACCCTAACAGGAATGATGCTAAAGCTTATATAGGAAAAGTAGTGGATTATGTGCCAAGTGTGCTCATTAGGTGATAACAGAGGACTATGTCATTCACTACTGGAAACCGAGGAGCGGGGTTTCCTAAGGGGTGTGCTTTTGGTCTGTTATGTGTGTAACAAGATAGTTTCAGGAGTTGATGTCTATAGCTTGATCTCTGGATTGTATACGGTAACTGTGGGCATCAGTACATGATAGTTCTGTTGACCAAGATAGTACAAGGGAAATTCTACAGAGGTCAACTTGTTCTTGTAACAGGGAGAGAGAGTTTGCCTCACTGGGCCCACTCATGAGTCACTGCCAGAGACAGGATCCTTGGGCTGGAGGCAAACTGTCAGGGATAGTGTTTTTGAGGCCAGGGAGAAATATGATCTTGGAAGTAGGGTCCGAATACAAGCATTCCATCACTCTGACTCCAGAGCCAACGTTCCTTCCACTATACCACATTGCCTATTCCAACAAAATTTTTTTTTTTATAGGTAAGAAAATTGAATTTAAGAAGTTAAATGGGGGCAGGTAGGTGGGGTAGTGGGTAGAGTACCAGCCCTGAGGTCAGGAGGACCTCAGTTCAAATATGGCCTCAGACACTTACTGGCTGTGTGACCCTGGGCAAGTCACTTAACCCCATTGCCTTCTCTCCCCCCCCCAGAAGTTAAGTGACTCGCCAAGGTGATACAAGTAGTCAATAGCAGAGTAAACATTTGAACCCAGCACCTCTAACACTAATCCTGCACTCTTTTGATTATGTCATGTTTTGGGTTTAATATGACATTGGTAAATGAAATCCACAGATAGAATGCCTCATCTAAGTGGACAGTTAGGGAGAGATGGGGTGGGAAGAGGGCCTCGGAAGGCTTCCTGGAAGTCTTGAATTGAGCCTTACAGGAATGGAAGGAAGTAGAAATGTCTGTGAAAGGTAGAGGTGAGGAGAGAGTATATTACAGGCCTTTGCAAATGAACTTAGGTGTTGGAAGAGGGAATGTGGAGTTTAGGGAACAATTAAGCCAGTTTGAGTGGAACTGTGGAATGTATGAAGGAGAGTAATGCAAAATAAAGCTGGAGAAGTCAGATGGAGGGCCTTGAACTTCAGGCTAAGAAGTTTGTAATTTAGCCTGGGAGCAATAGGAAGCCAGGGGAACTTTTTGAGCTGGGGGTTGGGTCGATGTGGTTTGACTTGTGCCTTCGGAAGATTGATTTGAATCAATTATTCATGCTTGAGGCAAAGCAAGATTCCTAGAGATGAGGGAGCCGCAATTAGGATGGGATGTGTTTGTCCTGTTAAGAACCAGTGAGCAAACACATTGGGAAGATACTGAAGGCTTAAGGAAACGGAGTCTAGTTAGAAGGCTTTGGGATGCATTTGAAAAACTCTTCCCCTAAGTACAAAACTGTTCATCTTGTGTCTCAGTTAAGAGAAAACAAAAACCTTCTATGATTCACTTGCCCATTCCTTTATTGGGAAATGCCAGCTGTCCTTCAGGGCTCATAATTTATTATATCTTAATGGGAACTATGATTTTCCTTTTCTGTTACTTTCAGACCTGGTTCCTTCAATTATGAGCAACTTGTTGAATCCAGATGCAATTTTCTCCAACAATGAAATGAGCCTGTCAGACATTGAAATCTATGGCTTTGATTATGACTATACCCTCGTCTTTTATTCTAAGCACCTCCACACCCTCATCTTCAATGCTGCTCGAGACCTCCTCATCAATGAACATCGGGTAAGCTGGGTCTGCAGATTGCAGCTTCCCTCCCTTCCTTCCTTCCTTCCTTCCTTCCTTCCTTCCTTCCTTCCTTCCTTCTTCCTTCCCTTACCCTTTCCCTTATCCTTCTTCTTATCCTTTCCCTTTCTTCATAATTAGGAATTCAGAAATCAGTTTTGTGTTGAAATGGCCTTTGCCCAGCTCCCTCTGCCTGGAAGCTACTTTTTTTTTTTTGAAATTTAATTCAGAAAGCGTTTATTAAACACCTTCTCTGTGTCAGGCCCAGTGGCTGAGCACTGGTGATGCAAAGGCAAAATGAAAAGTCTGCCCTCAGGCAGCTTACATCCTATATACCTTGTATATAGATAAGCACATAAAATCATATATCCAAAATAAATAGTGGATAGGGAAGTAGACTTGGAGTTAGGAAGCCTTGGGTTCAAATCTCACCTCACATATACACATACACATTTTATTTTTATTTTTTATTCTGAACTTAAACATACACAGGTGAGCACCTCTACATACACAGCAGAACACATAGAAGAGAATTGCACGTGAAATTACAAATCTCCATTTTGTACTATTGGCTTTTGGAGAAGCAGATAATAAATTCTACACATGATTTTCGAAGCTGTCCTGCTTGTCTGTGTTTCCTTCTGTTCCCTTCTGTGTGTTTAAAAAATGTGTGGGTGGTCTTCTTTATTCATCACTATTGCTACCCCCACCCCTGTCAAAATTGGAGGAAAAAAATTCTTTTAACAAATGAGCATATTCAGCCTAAAGGATCTCAACACTGCCCTGTCCATCAATATTATATGTGTCTCTTCCGCATCTTGTGTCCATCACCTTTGGTCAGGACTACCTCTGATATTTATTAGGTGTGTGTGACTCTAGGCCAGGGGTGGGGAGCCTGCACCCTCAAAGCCACGTATGGCAGGTTCCCCACCGCTGCTCTAGGCCAATGACTGAACTTTTCTGTCCTTCACTTTCCTTGTCTGTAAAATGTGGGGTTGGATTCTGAGGTTCTTTCTAGCTCTAAATTTATGATTCTGTAATTTTAATTGTGGGGGAAAGACACCCACTTGTGATGTGCTCCAGCCTGGGAGGGGAGCCCTGGACTTTGGGGATTATCACTAGGTTACTAAACTATTATAAGTTTTCCCAAACTCTTGAATCCCAGCCATTTTTCTAGACATAGGGCTCACCGGTGTTATCCTTGTTTTATCGATGAAGACTATTAAATCCCCTTAAGTTGCCATGTTGTCATAGCTGAGTTCATGGTGACTTAAGTTGCCATGATGTTGGTAACTTGAATTATAGGGAGCCAAGTTCACTGGCCAACGAGCTGGGGCATCTGATGCAGTTGCCAAGCTTTGTGGTTTGTGTCATTTCTGGTGCATCAATGACTGATTGCCTTTCACGGCCAAGATGATACAGTACTCTGAGGAGTCCCTCACTTGGCTCAGCTATCTTGACGCTGAGTTGTCCTGTTTCCTTGTACAAAACATTTCACTCATTCAATGTGAGAACAATGAGTATCTTTATCCTAGTGAGAACTTTTAATGGGGGAGGAGAAAGACACTTACTCCTCCTTCCTCCATACTAGGCCAATACACATTTCCTTGACTTTCCAGCCCGTAGACTGGCTTAATTGAAAGGGGGTTGGGTTACTAGTAGGCTTCCTATTATAGCTGTCCCATGAGCTTATGGTCTAGGAGTTCGAGGGCCTGATTTCAAATCTGTTGTTTTATTGTGTGACTTTGGGCAAGCCACTTAAAACCCCTGGGCCTCAGTTTCCTCCTCTGTAAAATGAAGGAGCTGGACCACATGGCTTTTGAGGATCCTTGTAGCTTGAGATCTGAGATCTTATGATCCTAAGTGATTTTTTTTTTTTTTCGGTGAGGCAATCGGAGTTAAATGACTTGTCCAGGGTCACACAGCTAGTAAGTGTCATGTGTCTGAGACTGGATTTGAACTCATGTCCTCCTGACTCCAAGGCCAGAGCTCTGTCCACTGTGCCACCTAGCTGCCCCTCTAAGTGATTTTTTGTCTCTGGGTCTCAGTTTCCTCACCTTTAAAATAAAGGGCTTCATCTGTTGGTGGAGGAGAAAAGGTGATTAGATCTAGGATCTCAAATCACTTAAATCTAAATCACTTCCCTTCTAACCACTGTGCTGCCCAATTGCCTCTAATAGAATGTTGGATTTGGAGTCAGGACGTCCTGATTTCATATGTGACCTCAGACACTAGCCATGTGACCCTGAGCACTTAACTCAAGGTCTCTGTCCCTCGGTTTCCTCATCTGTAAAATGGGAATAGTAATAGCACTGGTGTCCCAGGGTGGTTGAGAGGATCAAATGAGACAATATTTATAAAATGCTTTGCAAACCTTAAACTTATAATAGGATCCATAATAATGATATATAAAGTACTTTGCAAACCATAAAACTTATAATAAAATTTATAAAAATGATATATAAAGTGCTTTAATTTATAAGATTTATATATAAAATTTATAAGATTTATAATAATGATATAAAATGCTTTGCAAACCTTAAAACTTATAAAATTTATAATGATATATAAAGTGCTTTGCAAACCTTGAAACTTACAGTAAGATTTATAATAATGATGTATATAAAGTGCTTTGCAAACCTTAAAATTATAAGATGATAATATGTTTATCATTATTGTTATAATAATAATTGTATGTTATAATAATATTTGTTATTAATATGTTAGAATATTATATGTTTTCATCATCATCATTATATTCTAGCAGATGGCACTTATTTTGTCATCCCTACAGTGCCTTAAAAAGGACATTTCTGACAACTGAGATGTGTCTGGGCTTGGGGCCAAGCTATAATGTAAAGGTTAATAGCTAAATATACATCTGCCAATGTCCTGGCAGGGAAGAAACCTAATGCTGACCTTGCCCAGACTCCATAAACAGGTGCAGGACTCGTAGCTTCCTGGAGCTTTGGGGGCTGAGTGCTGTTACCAGTCTAGTGGGGGCAGGGCTGATGCACCCATCCTATGGCTGAGGTTGTAATAGAGAGGCTATTTCTGCACCAGAAATTGTGCTGGCTTTTGATTTTGCCTTAAGGCATCTATGCAGATGGAAGCAGATTCAGAGATTGGAGGAAACTGAGCAGAGCTTAAAAGAAAAAAACTGAGGTGGGGGCTAAGTAAGAGTTTGATTCCTGGGTGGGCTGTAAGCTGCAGAATTGTGGCAAGCATGGCCTTAATGACCATAGATAATCAGGAGCGATCTAGTCCAACTTGCTCATTTTACAGATAGAGAAACTGAGGCCCTCAGAGATTAAGTGGAGTGCCTGGCACATCCCACCTTCTCACCTCTGTCTCTCGGAATCTCTAGCTCCTTAATGGGAGCTCAGTCTGCTCCTTCCAGTTATTAGTGACCTCAGTCTACCCCCCCATTGAAATTACTTCCTGTTTGTTTTGAATTTCTTTTGTATTTATTTATCTTGCTAGATGCTATACTCTTTTCTTAGACTATAAGCTCTTGGAGGACGAGGACTATTGAGTTTTTAGCTCTGTATCCCTAGTACCTGGAACAGTTCCTGGCACATAGTAGATATTTAACAAATGCACGCTGACTTGATTGTAGAGGTGTAAGGGACCTCAGAAGTCATCAGTCTACTTCGGCTGATAGATCTGAACCTGGAAGGAACCTCAGAGCTTCTTTCATCCGATCCCCTTATTTCACAGGGGGAGGAGAACAAAGATCCCCGAGATTAAATTCCATGCCCAAGGTCACCCAGGTAGTAAGTGGAAGAGCCTGGATCCCAGGTCCTCAGACTTTCAGTCCAGTCAGGGTGTGGGTGCTGGAGCCAGCTGCACCTGGCTTGGGAGAGCTGATAGTTAAATTTTTGGTATAAAATATTACCATCTTGGAAATTTTTGGTGTAAACATTATCATCTCGGAAATCGGCAAATGCCACAAATCAGAATTTGATTTATTGCTTGTCTGTGTTTACCAAAGTCATGGTGAAAAAGTTAATAATTCAAGTTAAATTTAAAAGTGTGTTTTGTGTACATTTCCCCCCTGCATGGCCAGTAATTTAAAGCCATTTTTTCTCCTTCTTTCCTTAGTATCCTGCAGAGATAAGGAGCTACGAATACGACCCAAATTTCGCCATTCGTGGTCTCCATTATGATGTACACCGGGTAGGTTTATTTTTTTCCCCCTCCCTTATAATTAGACTCTGTACATGACTCCGTATCTGCCCTGTAAAATGGGGCAATTTTGTTCTTTGTCTGTTACTCAGTTTAAATTGATCTTCAATGATTTTCTTTTAGTGTTTTGGGGTAATTAGTATGAATTATCCAAAACGACTTTGGAGAGGATTTCTTTCAAAGAGGCCGTGTGAAAAGAAGAAAGAAATGAGCTGATTTGGAGTAGAGATTTATTCACAGCATCAATCTTCAGTCCTTTGAGTAGGACCCTGTTACTTATTAATAGACAAAAGCATCTAAAAGGAACCTGCCAGGCTTTGAGTGTTGGTTTCTACGGCAGCGTTTGGTTTTTGCCATATATATATATATCTGTGATAAATGCCTATATATGCACATGCTTATGTAGAGAGGGCCTTTTGTTTTAGGGCTCACCGTATATGGCAGTGGAAGGCCATTGGTATGTGGGGTGAGTTCTCTCCTAGAGAATTTATGGAGACATGGACAAAAGTCACCCAGGATGGAGGGTGGGTATGGAGGGACTGAGATAATTTTCCTGGAAGGGGCTTCCACAGTGATGAGAGGTTTAGACATTATATCGGAAAGAAAATTAGATTCTCTAGTCGAAACCTGTGAAGCCCAGGGAAGGAGGTAACCTGCCTAAGGTCACCCAGAATCACAGATCTAGAACCAAAAGGGACGTTAGAGATCTCCTGGTGCAGAATTCTTAACCTGCCTGGTTATGATGGCTCTTAAGATGGTCCGTGGATAGATTTCGGCGGGGTCTGTGTAGTTGGATAGAAAAAAAAAAGGTACGTCTTTACTTTTGCTAACCTAACTGAAATCGAGCATTTGCTTCATTTATGAATAAAAAACAAAATAAAAGAAAACATAATTCTGAGAAGGGACACGTAGGCTTCACCAGACTTCCAAGGGGTCCAGGACACAAAAATAGTGAGGAATCCTTCCTCGAGCCCCTTATTTGAAGATAAAGGCCCTAAGGCCCAGAGAAGCAGAGTGACTTGTCTGAGGCTGCACCAGTACAATCAGAGGGAGAGAAATCCCTGAGTCCAACCCCCTCATTTTACAAATGGGGAAACTGAGGCCCAGAGAAGGCTCCTAGGATTGTATTGATATAGAACTGAGAGGGACCTTAAGAGGCCATCCGGCCCAACCCCATTCCTTTTATAAATGAGGAAATGGAGATCCAGAAAGGGGCAGTTATCTTTATAATGGTACCATCGATATGCATGTCTTATTGGAAGCTTCATACACTTACTGACTGTGTGACCCTGGGCAGGTCACTTAACCTGTGTTAGCCTTAGTTTCCTCAGCTGAAAAATGGGGATAATAACAGCACCCACTTCCTAGGGTTATTGTGAGAATCAAATGAGATAATATTTGTAAAGCGCTTAGCACAGTGCCTGGCACATAGTAAGTACTATATAAATGCTTAGTCTCTGCCCCCACCCGCTATCAGAAGCAAATAGTGTGCTTCCTTATTTTCGAAAGATAATGGTTATAGTATTAGTAATGACACCTATTCATTTGTCCATCCAAGACAAATGCAATCTCTTCAGTATACATGGAGATCATTCTGGATTATTTGTTTTTATTTAAATTTTTTAATTTTTAATTTAGGGAATAAAACAAGCATTTCCATAACATAGTATAATAAAAAAGATGATTGTACATGAAACTGCAAATCTATTATATACAAGCTATTCCTTTTAAATATATAATAAAGTTACCACATGAATTGTGTTTGTTTTGAAAGGCCATGTTGATGAAGATTGATGCTTTTCATTATATCCAGCTGGGAACTGTGTACAGGTGAGAGAAATTATTTGTTCACCTCTAATGAGCGTCATGGCCTTTTTTTTCCAAGGTAGTTGTTCACTTAAAGGCCTCTATGAGGATTGCTCCAGTCCTTTGATCTTATTGAGTAGTATTTCTGCTTGGCTAGTTCCGGGAGTCTGGATTTCATCACTATGGATACGCCAGTCGTGTTGACTTTTTTTCTTGCCCCATTGCCCTCCGATGGCGCTGGAGGAGAGAATGAGGCCGATGACTGTGCAACTCTGCCTCACTGAAATCCAGTTTGTAGGGGCAGCTAGGTGGAGCAGTGGATAGAGTGCTGGCCCTGGAGTCAGGAGGACCTGAATTCAAATATGGCCTCAGACACTTGACACTAGCTATGTGACCCTGGGCAAGTCACTTAACCCTAACTGCCTCACCAAAAAAAAAAAAAAAGAAAAGAAAAAAGAAAAGAAATCCAATTCACACCCATGTCATGACATCACCCTCATGATATCATTGGTCCTCTTTGCAAATGAAGAATGAACAACCCGCTTTTCTGGGGACAGTGAGAAGTTAACTATCTTGCCCTGGGACACACAGCTAGTATGTATTATATAGGCCAGATTTGAATGCAGATCCTTCTGACTTCCAGGCCAGCTCCCTAAATACAACACGAAGCTGCCTCTTTTTCAATCACGTTTAAAAGATAGAAAACCTCAATCTCCTCGAGGTAGGCAAGTAACAAGTGGTGTCTTCTCCACTTGTTCTGGATGGGGTAACTGAGGGACTGATGTTAACTAACTTCAGGTTACTCAGTGACGGGTCTAGGGTTGGAAATCCTTCCTTGTCTGGTAGTGTGGGATCCGGGAGGCAGTTAGGGCTCTATTCCCAAGGGTAATCTGTTAGAAATCTCCAGCTGCGCCATCACTGAACCGTCTTCCCTTCTTACTACCAGAGGGCTCAGTGTTGTCCCCGATGAAGAAGTCATCGAGATGTACGAAGGCTCCCACGTGCCCCTGGAACAAATGAGCGACTTCTATGGAAAGGTAATTGGGAGAAGATTGGCTTTTTTTTTTTTCTGTCTTAGAAACATTTTCTGGCAAATGTCAGCAATGGAATGTCGCTTCCACCTTTGGAGAACTGGCCAGGAGAAGTAGCGTACAGTGTAGAGCAGCTACCCGCACAGTGGAGAGAATGCTGGAGCTGGGGTCAGGAAGACCGGAGTTCAAGTCCAGCCTCAGATACTTCCTAGCTGTGTGACCCTGGGCAAGTCACCTCACCCTGTTTGCCTCAGTTTCCTCATCTGTAAAAAGAGCTGGAGAAGGAAATGGCGAACCACTCCAGTATCTCTGCCAAGAAAACCCCAAATGGCGTCACGGAGAGTCTGACAGGACTGAAAAATGACTGAATGAAAAACAATGGATGGATTAACATATTCATAGGTTGCACTTAATTTTGTGGAGGCTCACAAGCTTGTGAGTCCATGACATAAAAAAAATGTTAAAGACCCTTCCTGGATCTCCTTGTTTTAGAGGTGATGGATCTGAGGCCCAGAGAGGTGATGTGACTTACCTGAGATTGCACAGGTAGACTCATAAAGATGGGAAGGACCTTGGACATCCTCTAGTCCAGTGGTGTCAACTAGAAACAGGGGTCCCTGTGGGCCACATTTTGACTTAGAAAACCATCCATGAACATTATCTATGTTTTATTGTATTTTTACTTATTTTGTTAAATATTTCCTAGATACATTTCAATCTGGTTTGGGCTGCACTTAGAGGTATAGCAGGCCTCATGTTTGACATCTCTTCTCTAGTCCAGTATCCTTATTTTTTTCAAATGAAATAATATTTGTAAAGCACTTAACCTAGTGCCTGGCACATAATAGGTGCTATATAAATGCTTATCTCCTTCCCCCATTTTGCAGATGAGGAAGCTGTGGCCCAGAGAGATTGAGATCTACCCAAGGTCACACAAGTGATACATAATAGAGGCAAGATTTGAACCCAGAAAACAAAGAGATTAAGTGACTTGTCCAAAGATGTGTAGCTAGGACGTGGCCGAGCCAGGTTTTAAACCTGGGTCCTCTGACTCCAGATGCAGTCCACCCTCTGTTTTGTTGGGCTGTGTCTCTGTGCCCTTTTAAAGCCTGCATTTCCTCTCTTTCTCTGCAGAGCTCTCAAGGAAACACAATGAAGCAATTCATGGACATCTTCTCCTTACCAGAGATGACCCTCCTTTCTTGTGTCAATGAGTATTTTCTGAAGAACAACCTTGATTATGAGCCTGTGCATCTCTACAAGGATGTCAAGGTTAAGCCAAGGCTCAGATGAGGTTTGGGGGGAAGGGAGGAGAAGGAGAAGGGGACTGCGGAAGAGAGCCGGTCCTTGGTCTCTGCTTGACTGAGGAGATAGAAAGGCCTTGACTCATTTCACAGCTTTAGGTTTTAAAATGTATTCTTGGAGAATTTGGATTTCTTTCGTTTGTTTGAGAATCTTGAGCTTTTTAGGGGACCCCGTTACATCAGAGGAATTATTTTCTTGGCTCTGTACCAGTTCATACAAATCTCAAGTTTTTCCAAATTCTTTATTTTCATTGTTTCTTATGGTACAGTAATATTACATTACGTTCATATAATATCCATTACCCAATTGATGAACACTTTTTCTTCTTTCTCTCCCTCCTTTCCTCCCTTCCTTGGGCCAAGTTTGATTGTTACAATTTTATGACACAACCCTTCCCCCTCTTTTTATTGATATCTTTGAAAAATATCACCTTCATTTCCGAATAGACTAAACTATTGCTTAAAGCAATTAAAAAAGCCATTCAGCAAAGCAAACCAAAGCTGAGTCTGATGGCATATGTCCTGTTCCGTACCCCTAGTCCTCCACCTCTTCAGAGAAGGGAAGGAGGTGCATTTCCTTAACTGTACTTGGGGGCTAGGCTTGGGTTATTACAGTTACACAGCATTGAGTTTTGAAAAAAACAACAACAACTTTTTAAGGATACAGTCAATAATCCTGTCTCTTTATGAGCAGACAGCCTGCTTTTTTGTTTCGTTTTGTTTTTAACCTAGAATGAGAGGAAAGCAATAACCTACATGGAAAAGCGAATTTGGGGATTAGTGATTTCTAGGTTGATGACCAATTAATTTCCATGCAAGGTTACTAACAACCCTCCAGCCTGGCCACATCTCTTCTTGCTAGAGCTTGGCCTTTCTGTAGCATCTATAGTAGCGTGTTGTTTTTCAGTCGTGTCTGACTCCTCATGACTCCACTTAGGGTTTTCTCAGCAGAGATACTGAAATGGTTTGCCATTTCCTTCTCCAGCTCACTTGACAGATGAGGAAACTGAGGCAGACAGGGTTAAATGACTTGCCCAAGTTCACCCAGCTAGGAAGTTTTGAGGCCAGATTTGAGCTCAGGTGCCTTCATGACTCCAGGCTGGGTACTCTATCCACTGCCCCCTCTAGCTGCCCCTGGAGTAGTGTACATTGGCTTGACTCAGGGTTGCCATGTTAACTGGGCTTGGGCTCCGCAGCAGCCAGGCTAGTGCTGACTCTGATCTGCAAGTGTTTGGTAATTCTAGCCTCTCTTTTCAGGCGCTGGCTTATGCATGCCTTTTGGATGGGCAGGGCCGGGAAGGGTCATGAACCTCCAAATTCCAGGGACAAATAACACAGTGAAGCTCTGCTTCTGATTTGCTGCATGGGGGATGGCCAACGTATTACTCTAGCTGCTGGCTGCTTGGTTGTTGGGCCAAACAGGACCCCTTTGTCAAGTATATCTCCCTGCTAGTGGTGGGGTGGGAATGTATCACTGGGGACTAAGGAGAGAGCCAAAGAAGAAGAGCTTGGTGGAGGGCACGGGACTTTTGTTTTGGAGTCAGAGGGCATGGGTTCCAGTCTCAGCCCTGCTGTTGTCTTCCTTTCTGACCTTGGGCAAGTCACTTAAATTCATTGGGACTCAGTTTCCTCATCTGTATGGCCTCTGAGGTCCCTTCCACCTCTAGGTTGATGATTCTATGACCTGGATTCAAATTCTGGCTCTGCTATGTACTACTAGCTTGGTCAAGTTATAGGCCTCAGTTTCCCTGTCTGTAAAATGAGCAAATTGGACTTGCTGACCTCTGAGGTCTCTTCCAGCTCTGAATTGTGGTCCTGTGATGTCTTGACTTGATTGTTCTCTTTCCTCTGGTGACCAGGAAGCCAATCTGGCTGCTGTCCAAATGGGAGGATGTCAATCAATTGCATGTTCTCCCTCTCAGCCCCCATGCTGAGCATTGCTTTGCAACTGATGCACATCAAAGTACAAGCTTTTTTTTTTCCCCATCAACAGCAGAAGGTATTTAAGGAAAGGAACAAAGCTGAGAATGAAACTAGTGTTTCAAGCACTGCCAAAACTATAGATGAGACAGTAATTACTCTAGGGGTGGTTGGATTGGATCGTGAGTCTGGCTAGCATGTCTTAAAACTGTTCAATGATCTTTTTTTGGCTGATTAAAAGTGCATTGATCTTTTGCCAGGATTCGATCAGAGACGTCCACATCAAAGGGATCATGTACAGAGCAATTGAAGCGGATATTGGTGAGTCAAGGCAACAAGCATTTATTAAGCGCCTGCTGTGTGCCAGGCACTGAGCTAAGACTGGGAATACAAAGGAAGGACCAAAAAAGGCCCCACCCTTACAATTCAGAATTTCACATTCTCTGTGAAGATGCCTTCTGCTTTCTTCTTGCCCTGCACCTGTGGGTGGAGGTGTGTCTTGTCAGGTTACCTGCTTGGGAAAGAGCGCTGAGCTTGAAGTCATGGGACCTCAGTTTGAATTTTGGCTCTACCTCTTATTAGCTGGGTGACTCTGAGCCACTCACTTTCCTTTTCCGGGCCTCAGGTGCCCCCTCCGTAAAATGGGGGGGGAGGGTGGTGTTGGACGAGAGGGCCTCTGAAATGCGTTGGAGGTCTAGAGCTGTGAACTTAAGATTGTTTTGGAATTTGCAGGCCCCCTGAATCCAGAACAGAGCCACGTTCCCTGTGTCTTTGCCTTTCTGGATTCATCTTCCCATCCATGTCCTGGTTGTAGCACAGACCAGAGGGAGAGGATTGGGGACTGTCATGGCAGCTCCCGCTTTCTCAGCTCTGATGCAGTGGACACACCTGAGGTCAACGTGGCCATGCGTTTGTGATGGGGACAGCCAGGGCTAGAGATAGCTCCCCTTCTCTGAAATGTATAAGCCACTCCCTGGTGCTGTCTTTGAATTTGAGACCTTTTGTTTTTACATCATCATCTATATTTCCACTTGTAGCGCCATTTCTTATAACAAAGATTTTTTTTTTTTAAAAAGGAGAAAAATCTGGCAATGTTTAAGTAAAAAAATAAAACTTTAAAAAGGATAAAAGGAAAAATACTGACGTTATGTTATTACTCCTTCCCCCTTCCAACCTTTTTCTCTGCAGAGGACTTGGGAGAGGAGTCTTTCTTTGTATCTCCTTTGGGGTCAGGCTTGTTTTTGAGAATTTCCCAACATTCATTTCCCATTATTTTGTGGTTCTTCTTTCCAGTTCCATGGCTGCAGTCATTGGACGTGTTGTTTCACTTTGCATCAGTTCATATAAATCTTTTCATATTTCTCTGGATTCTCTGTGTGTTTGCCTCCCTGGGATGTTAGGGCGTCACATGTAGACTCACAGGAAGCATCTTTGGGACAACTCCAGGAGCAGAGACGCCTGGCCAGGAGTGATAGGGACATTATCTCATTCCCTCAAGGTTTTGATTTCTTCTTCTAGGTCCCTATAGTTTCAGAGATTTTTATCACCATCATTATTATTCTGGCTATGTGGAGATTCTCCCTTCTTAGCCAGAGTGTTCCAGAATTGGCTCATCTTACTGGCCCTGGAGTCCAAGCCTTCCCGCCCCCAACCCCGAACAAGAGACCTCTCTCTAGCATACTCAGCAAGTGTTTCTCCATCCAAGACATCCAGTGAGAGGAAACCCACCAGTTCCCAAGGCAGTGTCTGTACTGTTGGGTGGTTCTCATCATTGGCGAGATTTTCCTGACATCAAACTTCAATTTGCCTTTTTGAAGCTTCTACACTTGGCTCCTGATACAGCCCTCTGGGGCCAAACAGCATGGATAGAGCATTGGGCTTGGGGTCAGGAAGACCTGGGTTCAAATCTGCCTCAGACACTTGCTAGCTGTGTGGCCTGGTCAAGTCACTTAACCTCTGATTGCCTCAGTTGCCTGTAAAATAAGAGGTGGACTTGATGACCTTGAAAGTCCCTTCCTTCTCTACAGCTACGCTCCAGTAAGAGGCATAGTGACCAGTACTAGGGAGATGACGTTAATCCCAACTTTTGTGCGATAACCTTCCTTTTCTTTTCTTTCTTTCTTTTCTTTCTTTCTTTCTTTCTTTCTTTCTTTCTTTCTTTCTTTCTTTCTTTCTTTCTTTCTTTCTTTCTTTCTTTCTTTCTTTCTTTCTTTCTTTCTTTCTTTCTTTCTTTCTTTCTTTCTTTCTTTCTTTCCTTCTTTCTTTTCTCCTTTCTTTCCTCCTCTCTTTCCTCCTTTCCTTCTTTCCTCCTTCCTTCCTGGGTTAAGTGACTTGCCCAGGGTCACACAGCTAGTTAAGTGTCTGAGGCTAGATTTGAGCTCAAGGGCAGTGTTCTATCCACTGCACCACCTAGCTGCCCATTTTTTTGTTTGTTTGTTTGTTTGTTTTGTTTTTGGTGATAACTTTCCAAAGACTTTTGAAAGCAGGTACCACATTCTGTCCCTTGAGTCTTGTCTTTTCTGGGCTAACTCCCATTGTAATCATGGTGTGTGTGAGCAGTGTGGCAGAGTGGATAGAGCACTGGCCTTGGAACCAGGGAGCCTTGAGTTCAAGCCCTGTCTCTGACATGTCCTGGCTGTGTGACCCTGGGCAAGTCACCTAACTTTTCAGCGTTCTGGGCAACTCTGTGACATTCTAGGAGGCAGAGTAGGTCCCAACCTGCTGGTTGAGGGAGTTTCATCACCTGGACTTTTTCTATCCCAATGAAATCTCAGGGCCAGACTTTATCCTCATTGTACTTAATTGTTGTCCTTGTTCTGTGCTTATCTTGTCTACCCAGCTAGATGTGTCTTAAATTTTTTCTTGTGCCCGCTTTCCCTGCCTCCTCCAATATCTAGACAAGTCCTAGGAACTTATACATGCTAAAAACATGCTTGTTAAATTAACCAGTAGGCGCTCAGGAAATACCTTTTGGGTTATAGATCATAGATTCTGAGGTCAGCCAATCAACAAGCATTTTTAAGCACCTGCTGTGTGCCAGGCATTGTGCGAAGCCCTGGGGATTCAAAGAAAGGCAAAAACAAGCCCTGACCGCAAGGAGTTCAAATTCTCATGAGGTACACAACACGGGAACACAAACAAGATATGTACAGGCTGGAGAGGGGATACCAAGATGAAGGGATGAGGGAAGGTTTCTTGCAGAAGGTGGGATTTTAGGTGAGATCTGAAGGAAGCCAGCAGGCAGAAACAGGGAAGGGGAACATTCCAGGCATGGGGGACAGCCAGCAAAAATGCACAGAGTTGAGTGATGGAGTGTCATGTTTGAGGAACAGCCAAGAGTCCAGAGTTTTCCAGATGAGTTAACTGAGGTCAAGAGGTTAAATGACTTACCTGGGGTCATACATCTCCTAAGTATCTGGGGTAGGATTTGAACCCAAGTCTTCTTGACTTTCAAGTCTAGTCCTCTGTCCACTCTTCCATGCTGGTGAATTTAACATCTGTGTGAACTTCTCTGTTTCTCTCTTAGAGAAGTATATCTGCTACGCTGAGCAGACCCGAGCGGTGCTGGCCAAGTTGGCGGATCATGGCAAGAAGATGTTCCTTATCACCAATAGCCCCAGCAGCTTTGTGTAAGTCCGTAGTGCCTAACTTGGCTGGCTGAATCTAATTTGTTTCAGAACTTGGAAATGATGTATCAGAACACTTTAACATTGGGCCAATGTGACTTTGAATGTTCTAGGGACAAAGGAATGCGATACATTGTTGGGAAGGACTGGCGGGATCTGTTTGATGTTGTCATTGTTCAGGCAGAGAAGCCCAATTTCTTCAATGACCGGCGGAGGTGAGCCTCTCCTTTCCCAGAAGGCTGGATTTTAGGCATTTACCCCTAGCATGAGGGCTCAGTTTGGGGCGTGTCTTTTGGTGAAATTCCTTGATGAAATCACAAGCATTCTATCTTATAAGTATTTTTTTTTTTTTTTTTTTTACCACCTTTGGAAAAGAAATTCTGAGAGTGGTGAAAACTCATCCATCAAAATGGTTCTGAGCTCATCTTTGGCTGGCAGAGTCAGGCTTATAAGAAACTTGTATATATTAGAAGAACAAAATGTAGCTTGTTTTATGAAGATGAGACATACAGAATCTCAGGAGTATAAGAAGGATTTGAATGATAAGTCTACTAGCCTTGTGACCCTGAGCAAGTCCCTTAATGCTGTTTGCCTCAGTTTCCTCATCTGTAAAATGATCTGGAGAAGGAAATGTCAGATCACTCCAGTGTCTCTGCCAAGAAAACCCCAAATAGGGTCATGGATATGGCTGAAATCTCTCCACAACAACGACAAGTCTAATCCAATTTCCCACCCATTATGGGAATCCATATATACAACAGACTGTCCTTGAATGCTTCCAGTGACAGGGAGCTCAGTCCTGACAAGTCAGTCCATTTGATTGTAGGAGTTTCAATTGT